GTGTGTGTGTGTGTGTGTGTGTGTGTGTGTGTGTGTGTGTGTGTTTTTTAAACTTAGCTAAACTTAAACTTGGCTAGGCTTTGAACTTTTACACTCAGGTATCTATTCACAACTGAATCCATTGTGATTTTCTACGCATTTCTTACGGCAGCATTTGGCGATATAAATAGCTGCAGACGGTTATAACTCAGCTTGCTGAGTTAAAGCTGTCCACCATGTGATCCCTCTGCAGCAGTGCAGGCCGCTGAAGGGCTGCAGGGAACCAACCAGCTACTTTTGAATGATATTAAAGAGAATTGGATCTTTTCAGGAGTATCTGGACTCATAAAGTTCAAACAAAGAATGCAAATGAAACTAAATGGTAAATGTCCAGAAATTGCAATGACTCTATGTACAGTGTTAGTAATCACATGGACCAAATGAGTTTTGATATTTAAAGAAATGCAGCTAGCCACAAGTTTAGTTTCAGTTGTTTACTAGCCACAGAAACTGCAGCAGCAGAAAGGTCTGCAAGTCTCTCTGCAGGTGGCATTATCTTACCTTCCCGTTGCTCCACTCCCCATTGGAGGGGATTAAACTCTAAGTACAAACAACAAATCTCTCCACTTCATCTTGATGAAAAACAGTCACACCTGCTGCTGTTTCAGTTTCTGCATTTTTTTTTTACACTCCCATTCCATTTGCTGCTGCTTTTGTTTCAGGCACAATGTGTTGCAGCCTCTGCTTTGCTGGCTGATTCACACTGGCTATAGTTGGAGATCCCCAGGCTGCACAGGGGTGCTATGCAGAGCGGTGTGTGCTGTTTTACTCACAATAACAGGTAAAAAAGACTTGAATTTATTACAGGAATTTATAGGTGTTTTATCCAGCTGTCCGTTTGTGGTCTGTAGGTTAACAAATTGTTGTCTTAGTGACAATTTTATATTAATAAATGATCAAATAATGTTGCAGCTGATACCATCAGCTGCGACTCTTATAAATACTTGATCCCATTAAGACTCAAGTGTTAATTTTTTCTTTCTTAACGGTCCAGAATCTGGAGGTTGAAATCACAAAACAATATTATTTTCATGTGAATCTTTTCATTTTAAATCGCACAAACCATAAACAAACCCACAATGTTTTATTCAAACAACTGTGATCTGACTTTGAGGAGAAGGGATTTGTAACTAAAAGAGTTTTGCAAGCTTGATTCACAAGAAACGAATTACTTCCTTTAATTTTTTTTGGTTGTTTCTTCTCTTTATGTGGTCCTTCTCTCTCTACATGAAGGCTGCAATCTTTAGAGAACAACCATTTTATTTCTATTTTTAGGTTTTAATATAAATGTTTTTACAAAAAAAGATGATAGATTCAATTTCTTTCATGGGATGTTGATATTTGCACATAGTTTATACGCTAACAACAAGAGAAATACATTTAAATAAATACTATTGGTGCATTTAGTGACATTTGCTGTGAAAATTATTCAGTGGAAAAATATAAAAACTGCTAAAAACTTCATTTAATATGGATTTAAAAACAAGACTTGTTTTTATTTATCGTTTTATGCCAAAGTATTTAAGAGCCACTGTGGAAGGTCCAAAGAGTCACATGTTGCAGACCCCTGGGTTAAATAAGAATAACAGGATATGAATTGCTCCTACTTTGAAAACAGTCATTGAATATTTAATCAAAATGCAAAAAGAGGTGATTAATTAAAGACAAATACCTCACTTCCCACATTTTCCCAAAAGTTTTGGTTTTCCTCCCCATTAGCACCATGATCAGGAAAAGTTTTTTTTGTTTTGTTTTGTGGAGTCAGAGAGGTGAGGAAGTGAGGAACCATCCAGGGTAATCATAGAACTGAATCCGAAACAAAACATTTTTCAGCCCAACTGGCCTCTTTGTCCAGAACCACAGCTGCTAAGTGAAAGTATCAATGCAAGAGCAAAAATCCTTCCAGCTGCAGCAAACAAAACCAGAGAGAATAACTTTCCAAACATCCAACACCTCAAACAACAAAAACAAAAACAGAAATCTACAAAAGAACAAATCAGAACCAACACAACAAACAGGTTTATGTCTTTGTTTCTTTAGAAAATGGACATTAGTGTGATTTGTATTCATGATTAGATTAATTTAAAGACATATATGGAATTTCTTTCTTCCTTTCAATATATCATTTAGGAAGAGAAAGACTTTAATCTTACAGAAAATCTAAGATTTTTGAAAAATTATGAGGATAAATATGATGTTACTGTATCAATATTAGCAACTGCTGACACTATTCCTAATGCATTTTAAGGATATGGATTGATGCAATCAACATATTACAATCTGTTCAATTAGTAATGCAATTTATAAACCTTAATAATAGAAAATATTGAAACATTTTTGGTTATTTTTTACTTTGGTGATTAACCTCCATCATAGTGACTGAGCATATGGACCTCATTGAAAAATAATGTGGTGATCCTCATTTGTTTTACTGAGGTTTTAGTGCCTCTGTTGTTATTGGCTGTAAAAGATTATGACATAACAACGCACATGTTACACACAACCACTGCATGGTGTCCAGAAAATTAGCACAGGCTGCAACCTGTGTGTGAAATAAATGTAGACCTGGTTTGTAAAAGCCTAACAGAGTTTTTATTAAATATCACTTGGACTAATATACCAAAATCTAAAATAAACAGTGGCCTGTTTACAACTGGTAATTACCAGTTGCAGTAACGTGTTTATAGTAAACAAATTCCGCCTGCTTAAATTGGCTTAAACTTAAGTTAAAGTTCAGAAATGCATCTTTTTTTTTTGTAAAAACTGGAATATAATGTCTAATATACTTTTAGCAAAACTTTGAACACATAACAGACACAATGTGGGACTGAAAGCATGCTCTACACTGAGAAATAAATTAGTTTTTAAAACCGAGCTGCAGTGTTTTTGTTGCTTTGTTTGGCATTTTTCTACCTATTCACCTTAAACAGTGAAGCTCATTTGAGCAGAGCTCGCTGCTTTATGTTGCAGAAAATGAGGGAAGTTCCAGAACATTTTCACTCTAAAACATTTTTTTTTTCCCCAAATCAAATGCAATATTAAATTTAAATAATCCGCCTGTCTGAGGTAGTTTGCAGCTCTGCTTGGTTTGTATGCAGGAACCTTTCTCTTGAGTTCAAGCTAAATATTTAAACAACGAAAACTAAACATATTGATTTAAAAAATTACACCAAAGTGAAGGAGAAAGCTTACCTTTATCAAGGCTGTATCTCATAAAACCTCCTATGATCAAACTGGTGCCGCTTTCTTATGAAGCATCGAAGGAGAGCTATAATCTGTTGTAGCCAATCCAATAATCTAATTTATCTGGATTTCGCTGGCCTGTCGAGAGCAGCCACCACATGGCGGCCGGCCAGTGTGTGCCAGCAGACAACATGTCTTTCTAAGGGGCCAGAGATGCAGTCAAATATCAGAGAGGAGCTGCAGTCCTCCAGTTTCATACTGGGACATGAGTGAAGGCGGCTGGAGACGCTCCAGAGCTCTCCGTCTGTGTCAGAGGATTTTAAATCCATCTGCGTCTGGTCCTTGATGCGCGTGTGAAGAGCTGCCCCCTGCTGGCGAAAGAGGGGAAGACAGCATATCAAACTCATCCCTAGAGGAAGCTTGTGTTTTAATGTGGTTGCTCTGCCTTGCAGAAAGTAAGTTTTGGATTCAAATACCTTTTGAGCATCACTTGGCCTCCACTGACCTTCCTTCTCCCCGAAGAGCATCTCAATCTCTTTGTAAATGTGACATAATGTTTACTATGTTGTTTGGTGAATCACATGTTGTCCATCATGACTTTTATTCAACAAAATCAAATGTATAGAAAGTCTGATGTTGTAAAGCAACCAGACCCACCAGACTAAATACCTTGTTTCCCAGAATACAATGTCAAAGTATTTCAAATATTTTCTGTCAAATTCTTAAATATTTTAGCAAATATTCTTAATATTTAAAACTTTCAAAACCAATCTTCAAGTGGAATATAGATATGTAGAGCAAGGCTCGTGAAGTGAGACAAAGTCCCTAAGAATAAAATTTTAAGGAAAACATGTTATAAAATAAATCACTGTTGTCAGTATAAGGCTTCATCTCAGTCGCTGTTTCTAAATTTGTTAAATTCGTCACTATTCTTTTTTCTATAAATCATACTCTCAGAATACAACTGAATGACTTGATATTTCATATCCATCAAGTCAAAGGGTATTGATTTGTTATAAAACCCAGTTTAATGTCAAACTGGGCTAATGGAAATGACAAGTTGAAAACTAAATGCTCATTATCCGATTTTACTGAATTTCAGCTTCGTTGAAAAACAAAGTAGAGGCATACATAAAAACTATTTGCAATTGCAGCAAAGAAGTGGCTCTGCAAGATATAGTAAAGTCCCGGGGTGAGTACAAGAGTACACCACACTTTTCAGATTAAAAAAAAATACATTAAATCCTTTCATTTAACAATTAGGTTACATTTTGTATTTTACAATAAAACACATTGATATTTGTGTTTATAATTTGTTAGAATGTGAAAATGAGGTTCAAGAAGTGCAAATACTTCTGCAATTTGAGAGTTGAAGGCATGGGTCAGATCTTTTAAATGAGTGGAGCCAATTGATTCGGATCCTGCAAAGAAACGAAATTCCCATCACTACTCAACATGTCGAAGAGCGGGGCCCGTCAACAGGGCAAATTGTGATCTGGCTCCTGATTGGTTGTCTGGTCGAGCTTTTATGACGTGTTGCGCGAGTAAGCCAATAGCTGCTTCAAGGGCGTGGCCAAGTAAACATCCCTACCATTCAGCTATCATGTTAGCCGACGGAGTCATATGTAAATAGCTTTACGAGCTTATGGGATGTCAGCTTGGATTTATTTGTTTTATGAGTGTTGTATAATTTTTAGTTGACACCTGGATATCTATTTAAATATAATGGACACCAGAAGTTCTATGTGAAGGTCGTTGCTGTGTTTTGCAGTAAAATTCGTCAGGTTAGCTGCCTCGGTGGACTAGCCTATTAGCTATCGCGGCCATAACGAGCAGCACAACAAACACCGAGTCGAGCCCACGAGTCGGCGAGTCGACGTTAGACATTTCTGCCATCGTCATCATGGAGAAGGTACTCCTTGTACAACACGTTTGGTCCTTTGGCTTTTGTCTGAAATATAGAGAATATGTGATGGCGATCTGACTAAGTGTAGCTAAATGTTAGCTTGCTGGTTGCCACACCTGCTCTTTCTTTTCAGGCCAAACCGGCATTTTTGTTCTCTGAAATGTTCATGGTCAACTCCGACTCATATCGGTGCATTCAGATTTCAGGTCACAATTGATGTTTTAGGGACAGTAGCTGGATAAATGTACGTTTCTAGGTTTGTATAGAGGAGGTGACGCCCAGTCTTTGATCTAAAATATATGCTGATGTCCAGTTCTTAGACAATAATTGGGAATTATTCATTTACATATTTCAACGAAACGAAAGTAAAAGCGTCGATATTGCTCATAAAAATTATTGTTTTTATAATCATCTCTTATCTTTTCCCTCAGGCTGATTTCTTAAAAGGACTTCCAGTCTACAATAAGAGCAACTTCAGCAGATTCCACGCAGACTCAGTTTGTAAAGCATCAGTGAGTAATAGCTATTGCATGATTGTAAATGGATAACAATAGTACTCAGTTCTTTGATGTTTATGGTTCAATGTTAAATATAAAGTGTTCATTATAAAAATGCTAAGATTTTCCACCAGCAGCCTGAAGTTTACAGCTTTCACTCTGCATCATTAGAAATTTAATACTTTAAAATCCCTCAAATTATATTAAGTAACTCAGCACATCTTTTAAATCGTACACAAAACAAATTATAGCTCATTAATCTTTTTTTTGCATAACAATGTCATCTGCAAAATATTTGTCCTATGTTCTCTGATTAACATAAATAACAGCGATATCCAGCATAACATCAGAGAGGAGAAACATTTGATTTTCTGTTGTGTGTTTGGTTTTTAAACAACATATTCATTAAATGTATAACTAGGAGTCTTAAGAAACCTTTCCATTTTGGTCAGTTATTATTTATATCATGTTCAGGACAAAAGTTTGTCACACAGCTCTGTAGTTTTACTGGCTTTCACTGTTATTTCAAACGAAATGCAGAAATAAAAAATGTATAAATCCCATTACAGCAGATGTTTTATTGGAACACTAGTCCCTGTGTTTAATGGCTAAACAGGATGATTACATTAGAGTGAATATTGGGAAATACAATCACCATCATGTCAATGCATGACATCACTGTGGTAATGGATAAACTAATCTGTTCCAGCTCCCATGCATTTAGATCGCTGGTCAGTGACTCATTTGGCCTCTTGAATGGGCTGTAAAACCTGACAAGTATATATATATATATATATATATATAAACACAATCTACTTGAAGGTATTAATATATAATTCCTCTATACATAATTTCTAAAATTTGCATTGAAAATAAAATATTTCAATTTTAGTAATATGTTTAATTGCTAAACATATTTTTAGAAGGTGTACTAAAATACACGTCGAATCAAAGTAGATGTGTGAGAATAATCTTATGTACATCCTATTTCAGAAAAAATGCAGCCTTTTTTAGCAGATTTTTTATTTTATTTTTTCCTGGGCTCCCTTCCTTTTTTGGTCACATCTGTCAACCCGACTGACTACTTACTATCTGCAAATGAAAATATACAACATAAAACTCATGTGAAGGATGGACCGGCTTTTGTTTTATCTGCTGCGTTTATTTCCTCCCAGACGCCTTGTAAAGCTGCTCTGGGGCAACATTAGACTGTCATTGTGTACAACAGTTTGTTCATGCACTGTGTGAAATGACCATTATTAATGGCTGTTAATGTTCTAGTTGTATTGGAGAAAAAGAAATTGAGATTATTTTTCTCCTTAAACCCTTAACGTATAGTTATTCTGAGTAAATTTAAGGTTAAAGTTGAAGTTTTTGCGCATTTATCATACTACTTATGGTTAATGTACATTTATGTTGTAAATTAAGCTGATAGTTTTTTTTTTTAAATAATTCAAAAACTGTTATTCACTGCTTTGAAACTGAATTGGGAATTTGTTTTTTAAGTAAATGAGAATAACTGTTGACTGTTGTCTCTTTCTTTCTTTCGTCTTTGTGTTTTGTTGTGCAGAACCGAAGGCCGTCTGTTTACCTCCCAACCCGGGAATACCCTTCTGAACAGAGTGAGTCACAGGGAGCGGCTTCAGACTGGCTGCATTAGCAGATTTATTATAACACCCTGCACTACGGTCACAAAAACACTTGAATAATCAGTTAAATTTTAAAGAGTAGTACCTGGCTGCAGGGGGGGATCGAGGACAGGTTGAGGTTTTGTTGACTGAGGGAGGAAAGAAAAGAAGTCAGAGTGATAATGATATAAAGTTTGTGGAGTTGTTAATCTGTGCATTTATTACATGTGATGATATTATGTTAATTTCCTTTAAGAACTACTAACCTGATCTTCCTTATTTGACGTTGCAGTTATTGTAACAGAGAAAACTAACATCCTCCTGCGTTACCTGCATCAGCAGTGGGACAAAAAGGTGAGCAAGTGTTTTCATTAATACCTTCTTCTAAAACCTAAGTTTATATTAATATTTAAAAACTTGTCTTGTTATGACTGGATTATCGCTAATGTGTTTGTGGTTTTGTTTTAAGCAGAATGCAGCGAAGAAAAGGGAACAGGAACAAGGCGAGGTGGACAGCCCGGCACCGCCGAGGAAAATCGCCAGGACAGACAGCCAAGAGATGAATGACGACTCATAAAGTGTGTGTGTGTTTGTGTTTGTGTGTGAGAGGATCAAATGGCATGTGCACATACAGGGTGTAGCCTATGTGAACTGATGAACACAGAAAGTTAGGCGAACCTGAATAAAAATACGTGGTAGTTTTGAAAAGAGGTGCACTGATCAGGATTTTCCTGGCTGACTGTGTTTAAGATCGAGTCAAAATCCATCATAATGTTTTTGTTTTGGCTCTTATTGACATGTCGACTCCGCCCCGTGTGAGACTGTACACCTGTGAGCGTTTGTATGCGTGTGGCGCTGTGGATGCGTGTCGTTCTGTTTGCGTGAAGCGTGTGAGTGTTAAAGTGTGTAGAGTTGAGATGGAGACACACTGGACAGAAAAAGCTACTTTTACAAACTAAACCTGTGTAGATCCGCTCTGATCCACGTGAATGTTTTGTTACTCTTAATTTTATTACAACTCGTCGTTGTTGAGCTTCCTGCCAGCCGCAGTGCCCACTCTGTTTCACTGCCCACTTTTAACCACACGGGGGCGCTCCAGCATCTCTGAAAACTCCACAGAACCAAGAAAGCACTGTGACAAAGAGCACAAAGTAGAGCCATTTCCTCCAAAATTCCCCATAAGATGCGACTATATTCATATCTGTGTTTTAATCTGGGACTTGTGCTCGTAGGATTTAGGTTGATTTGTCTGAGATGCATTTTTACACCTAGCATCTCGTTGATTATGGCTATAAAAATGTGATTTTCTTAAAGGAAGGAATTCAGACCTGTAAAGCACAGATGGTAAAAAAAAAAAATTAAAAAATCTAATTACATGAAAGGAAAGTTGTTTTTTTGTGTGTGTAAATAGTTACCATCAGAATTATCCAATTAAGTAAGTTTGTGTTTTCCTAAATAAATAAAAACACACCCATGGATGCAATAGGAAAGGAAGCACCCTGATGCCCAGTGGACGTTCTCTGGCTTGCATGTTGTTGTTTTCACTGCTGGATGTTTTGTTACAGAACCGAAGGTATCAGCCTAGAGGCCTTACAGCTCGTCATCGTGGTCCGATTCCCTTTAGCTGCCCCGGCTTGGCCGCGTTCCGCATCTTCCAGTCTAGGAAGGTTTTTTTTTCACTTTGAGATCTGGCATGAATTATCACAGAGTGGGATTCAAAAGGGATATTTTAGCGTTTTCAGCCACAGAATGCACATGGAGCATGGGAAGCAGCGTTCTTACTTTCAGTTCATTCTGACGTCATAAACCGCTACACTGCGATGAAGCTTCTTGTTATCACTGCCCAGCAGAGTCACGTCGAAGCCTCCTGATGTTTTATCAGCAGATGCAGCAGTGTAGATATCCATTTTTTTTAAATCATAAAAACATGATATGCTTCTGCTCTGATAGACTGTTCAGCTCCACATTAGGCCTTGCTCCCATACTGTGTGTTTGATCAGATGTTCCTTTAAACTTTGCTCAAATAAAGCTTCACTGAAACTAGATTTTGTCACGTGGTTCTTAAAATGTGAATCTGAATCTCTGAAAAAAGATAATTAAATTAGATGTGAAACTGGGCAGACCGATAGGCAATGATAAAATATATCTTATATTTAACAATTCACTGTGATTTATTTTGCAATTTTGAATGGTTACATAGTCACGTCAATAAATCAGAATAATCAAAAGTTTTACTTATTACAATTAAAACTCATTACATACCGAATAGACGCAGGATGTATTTCATGTGTTGCTCAGTATTTAAATTAATCTTCCCATGCTGAAGAAAAGAAACCCCATAGTATCATGCTGCCACTACCGTGCTTCGTTGGGATGGTTTTGGTGTTTGTTGTCCACCACATTAGCATTCGATTTTATTCTTTGAAGGAATTTTTTTTTCAAGTGAAATTTTTGATAGTGACTTTAAAGTAAAAAAAAAAAAAATCAATTATCTTTTTAAATCAATTATAAAAGATAAATTCAACACCAGATTTTCGAATAAAACTATATTTCTTCCATATTTACTAATCACCCAGGCTTTCCCAGGTTGTCTAAAACCCCCACCCAAAATTTTAGAATTTCCAGATATTGAACAAATAGAAATAATTTTGGTGATCAAAAGTGAAGTGGAAGAAAAGTTCAAGTATTTTTAATACTTTTGCCAGACACTCTTATCTACTACCAGTAAGATGTTTTCTAATTGTAACCTCTCTACAGAACCCTAAGTGTTTATTTTTGATCATCATTGAATCAGTAAGTAATATATTTCATTAAACTGGAATATGTGTTCACTTCTTCCTACTCCTTTCAAACAGAACAGTAGTGGTAAACAAAAGAAAAATGCCGACACATCATTTTAGTACCGACAACATTATGTACTGTAACTGTTTCAGCTAAACAAACTCCCAACTCATAAAATGCATTTGAAAAGAGTTTTATTAACTATTCTTTTCAGATTTTACAAAAATATGACAAAATAAATTAACAGAAATAAATAATCCCATTTCCCAGTATTTTTCTTTAAAAGACTGTTTTGTTTTTTTTCTCTTTTGTACATTGGAAGAGCGTTTGATGTCGTGTCAGTGAGGCTGCGATGAAACATCTGATTTTTGAGGTTAGGGTCGGGTTTTAATGAAGCTGCGTTGAGAACCTGACCCGTTCACATCCGACTCAAATCCCAGAACGTGACGCATTTGATAAATCCACTCGGCCCAATCGCACTGATTTCCTGTTAAAGAGGAAGAGGCTTCCTGTGAGGGACGTCAGAGCTCGACCCGATCAAAGCCAGCTTCTGCGACTCAGGCTTATCAAAATCCCTCATCTGTTCTAAATTTCCAGCTGCCTTTAATTTATGATGAAGAGAAATTATTTTGATATTTGTTGCTTGAACGGGAAAAGGTGGAACTGTACATAAAAACTTGACAGCTTCAGCAAACAGCCCGATCCCAGCCTTCTGCCAAAACACGTGTACAGATGATGATGACGAAGGGACTCGAATGCATCGTGCTGTTCTTCATCCCTGAAATCCAAATGCAGCAAACTGGGAGGGTTTTTTTAAATAAGACTGAGCTCAGCTACATTGTAACATCTACGTCTTGTTTATGTTGTTGCACCGACTCTCTTTAATAATTCACATCCCAGCCTTTTAACGACACACACAAAGACAGAATATGTTCCTCTCATCCCGGGAATTCCTATTTTACATTTATAATGAACAGCTTCCAGAGAAGTTAAAGAACACGCTTATAGTACTGATGCTGCAACATGGTTTACCCTCTTGTGTGGTTTTTTTTTCTGTATTGCATTAAATCTTTTTTTATTTACTCATTTCAAACTGGTCTGACAAGGCAGAGGCAACAATAAAACACATTAATTCAACAGATTCAGTGAAGATTCTCCATAAATAAAGAAAAGAGAAGTGAAGAAAGGCGGAGATAGATGTGCTGCTCCATGTCGATCTACAGTATCTGCTTCCACTCAGTGTTATTGCCAAAGTCCTTGTTGGAGGTGAAAGTGTGTAAATGCATAGTTAATGTTTCCATCTGTTAACCCACAGGACAGTTCAGTGGCCTTTGAAACATGTGAAATGTGTGTTTTACAGTGTAATGACTCCACCAAGCTTTTCCATCTAAACCTGTGCTGCTGCTGCATCCTGATGCCCACAGAATGGTTTTATGGGTAAATGTTTATTTTTATAAGCTTGCACCACCTTCTGGAAACCATGAAATAATGACTTACTGTTTGCATGATGATGAGTTTACATAAAGTTAACTGAGCAGGTTAAATGATAATAGAGCACTGTGCAAAAGCTTTCTTAAAAGCCTCCTTTCAAATTTTAGGGTTCTGTAAACAAAATAAAATACCAACTAAACCAACTGAGGCATAACACTCCAACAAGTTCAGGGAATACATCTTTACTTTTTTGTTTTAACAATTTTCTTCTTTCTCTCGTTAGCGTCTAAATCTGCTGTAGAATACTGTACATCTCAAATTAAAAACCATAAATTGAAAAATATTACATGTAGTTGGAAAAGTCAATGGAAAAAACTGGTACTGTACTGTAAAAACAAAATGCATGGTCAGTGTTTAACAATCAGAACTGCTAAGAGCAGAGATAAAACATCTCCCTCCACACTTATTGGCACTGCGTTAAAAAAAAAAGCCTTGAAATACATACATTTATCTTTTATTGCAGTAATTTACTGAGAAAAATACTAAAATCTAACTTATAGACATTAGTAATAAAATATTAATGAGTTCCACTTTGTAGTTTTTAATGTTTTTGGTTTTGGACTTTTGTTTCCCTGGGGTATTAATATGGTGTGACACAGGTCGTTTTCTCTTAGCCAAAGGGGCAGGTGGAGGATCCAAGTTAATCTTGCCACTGTTCAAAGTGAGGACAAAGGGAATGAAGGCAAAAATAATAATAAAAAATCTCTAGAGCTCATTTAAAAAACTGCATCTTACGATCGTCAAGTCTAAGAACAGAAATTATGGAGGAAAAGGAAATACCTTTCTTGTCTTTTTAGCCTTTTTAGCAGCAAACATTCTAGTTCTTGAAACAAAGAATGAATACTGTTTGGTACAGTGGAGGACCTGTGATGCTGGGGGTCCGTCTTACATCTAATAGCCTTGTGAACTTTGCTAAATTGTATCATGAACATTAAAATACAACAAACATTTTGTGATTTCTGCAGGGAACTGAATGTGTCAGTCAGAGGACGAGGTAAGAGCTACTGAAAGCCTGCAGGGGGCGCTGAGGAGATGAAAACGTTTTCTTAATAGGGGATATCTAAGATTTGGGTTTTTTCTATAACTTTTACTGAGGGATTATTCAGCTTTAGGAAACGATTCATTCATTTCAAAGCTTCATCACAGCAGGAGAGAACAAGTGTGGAGGGAGCAGTAGATACTAAAAAGAGAAACGTTTTTGTGTAACATACTGTAGTGAATCACGCTGGAATCAAGCTTCTTGTTGGGGTTTAGTGCAACTTTCTCCTCTTTACCTCTGGACTCATTTTGCCTCGTCTGGAGTGTGTGGAACGGAGTGCCATCTGTGTTTACCCGGTTCGCTACAGGCATCATCCATGCTCCACTTTCCCAAACATCACCTTCAGCCACTGCCTCTAAATTTCTCCTGGGAAAAATGTCGGTACGGGTAATTTGACTTACAAAGCTCTTTACTTTGTGATTTTTTAAAATCTGTTACAGAAAGGGAAGGGAACTAAACGCTCAGACGTCACCTCTGCTTTCAAAATAAAGCTGGTGATTTATGCTGCGACTGCTGAGAATCATTAAAACACTGACTGATATTGCTTTTCCATTTATCTGCTTCGTTACAAAAGAGAAGGGCCCAAAAAATTCATTACAATAAAAAAAAGAAAGATAAAATATTTACTTGTGTTGGGAAGGATGAAGTCTGGAAATCGTTCCATGTTTGTTTTTAACCCCTATCCTTTCACAACTGGCTTTTTTATTTGTTCATTTTTTTCACGTGAGGCCACCAAGATGCTTACAATTTCTGACTAAAGGAAATCAGGAAACATAGCTTTCTGTTTTAAAGGCTTAAAATAGTCGAAACGCAGCTCATGCATTTCTTTACGTATTGCAGACAAGGAAGAATTTGAGTGAATGTGTTTTAGTCGGTCATGACAGAAGGGCTTGCGTCTGTCGTACAAAGCCAGATTATTTTTGTCTCTCTGCAAGAAAGCAGACCGGAACAACAGTCATCTTCCATCCGATTCATCTTTTCCTGTTTGCTTCCCTCCACACAAACAGGAACTTTTCGGGCCTTTTCTCACAGTAAAGCACATCAACTCCGGCTGATATGTAGTTTTCCTCCTCCGGAGCTGCTAGATTTTCGAACTGGCCGGGTCCAAGTCTGCAGCATGTCCGTTCTCGGATCCCTCCCCCGGAGGAGAAGGGATCTCGTCGGGAACACCGTTCAAGTCGGAGCGGGAGGTTTGTCTTTCCGATGACGACCCGTCTCCGGGTCTGGGCGGCGGAGCCCCGTTCACACACGCTCCCCCTTCGGATTTTCCAAAGTTAAACAGTTTTCCAGGGTTGAAGGCCTTACTGGGTGACTGAGAACGCTCCTGAGAGCTGCTACCTGATGATGATGAGGATGATGATGATGCTGCTGCGGCTGTGTTGGTGCTGGCTGCAGCAGATGCGGCGGCGGCGGCGGCTCCCTCCTTCTTGTTCTCGGGTGACTTGAGGAACTTGAAGCTGAGGAACCCGGGGAGTTTGGGCTCGCTGCCGGTGGGCGACTGCGGGGAGCGCGCGCCGCTGGAGGAGAACTTACTCTGCAGCGGGATGATCTGCTTCAGCTTCATCACATTGTTGTTGGCCAGCAGGGAGCTGGGCCTCTTGGGTTTGTCAGAACCGCTGGCCCCTCCTCCTCCTCCGCCGCCGCCGGAGCGAGATTTGCTCCCGTGATTTTTGTCGTGGTGGTGATCCCCAGACGAGTCACCTTTGTTGTCATCCCGCTCCCTCTCCCTGCGAGCCATATGCTCCGCCTGCCTCTGCCGCTCCTCTTCCTCCCTCTTCCTCCTCTGCAGCTGCTGGTAATGCTGCTGCGCCTGCCGCTCATGCTTCTGCAATGAAGAGAAAAATAAAAATCACATTAGGTGTTTACTAGGATCAGCACTAACTAACGCTCTGCTCAAATTACAAATCCCCTCACTGCAGGAAGACGTCTGCAGTGCAGTTTTCCTTTTTATGTTAGGCTGTAAACCTTTTCACTTCCAAAATTTAAAATAAATCAGGTGTAAAATAAACATTTTCCCTCCACATAATGCTGAAGTGCTGCAGTGAAGGTGCCAGCTGGACCTCAACAACTCCAATCACTGCCAACAAATTGCTTCCTCCTTTACCTTAAAAGCCTCCCTTCGCTGGTAGTCCAGTTTCGCCATCTCCTCCTTGACCCATGTAGGAATGTCAGGAATGGCCACATGGATGACATACTTCAAGAGAATCGCAAAGTGCTGAAAGAAACACATTTAGAAGAAGATTCCTGCAGTTAATGTACCATGTTTGAATTAGACACCAGAAAGGATGATAAAGCCTCAACATAACATTTACTTCAGGTAATTTCTGCACCAAAACCTGTGGACTGTGAAAGTGTCCTCCTGGTCACGCCTGACTTCCTAATCAGGCCAGGACGGAGCTGCAAGCTGTTCTTGTCTTTCAGATACAAGCAGCCGCAGCGTGCAGAGCAGACCGAGCTAAAACTAAAGAATCCTGACTGGAGCAGCAACTTAGAGATATACAGAACTTATGAGAGCAATTTCATTATATTATGTCTGAAAAGTAATGAGATTTTACTAATCTTTTCATTTTATTATATATAAAAACATCAAATAAGGTGTAATATTGACATTTAGGAAGATATATTGGTAGAATTATTATATTAGGGTATAATACTGTAGAGCATTGATTAGTCTTTGCAATCACTGTCAACAGGGATCAATAGCATCTTTAAAGTGGGAGTGTGATTTGCTATACTACAGCTGAAGAAACATGAAGAAACATCCAGGAAAATGCATTAAAATAGTTTTGTACAAAAGTTATTCTTAGTTATTTTAGCAATTTTTTTATATATAAAATTATTAGAATCCTTTCAAGTCTTGACTTTGCTCTACCCACAATCAGGTTTCAACCACACCTTTGGAACAACTGCATAAAATAATTAAAACATGTTCACATTTTAAAGTCTTAATTAGGAATGTGTAAATGTTCTGTGCACTTATAAAAAGTAGTATTAAACTGTGTTTGCTCTTTGGTACCTCCAGGATGACAATAGAGATGATGGCCATCTCCGGACTGAGCCACGGGAAGAGCCGCTGCAGCTGACCGCACTGACCAATCAGGTAACAGTTCACTATGATGGCAATCAGGCCCATGGCTTCCATCGCCGTCTGAGAAGAAGTAATAAAAAACTCTGTCATGTTGTTTCTGCTTGCAAAAATTGAAACTTTTATTACATTTTTTATGCAATTTGCAAGTTAAATAAATATTGTCATACTTTAGCTCTGGACTGAATGAGCCTCACCTGCCACTGGCCAATGCTCTCCACTCGGAGTCCGAACGGCCTCTGCAGCCCGGTGCACAGCTTAAAGGCATCGCTGCGGATCTCGATGATGTTGTTGATGAGTGCACACATGGCAGCCAGAGGAAAGGCAGAGGAGAAGAGAACCACGTAGCCAAACTGGACAAACATCTCCTGGTAATCCTGGAAGGTGTCCTAAAAGACAAGTGAAACATTCATCTCTTTATTTACTATATAGATAAAGTTCTTGGTGACAAAGTTCTGAATATTTTGTAATGTTGATGAACTGTCTGTGCAGCTAAAATATGATTGTATAATATATGAATGCATAATGAGTGAAAGTGTAAAAGTGTTGTTTTAGGAACCAAGCAAGAAAAATACACACATTTTTCTGTTGTAAGCTTTGTATTCTTCTCTGTTTTCAAATAATTTTTCAGTATTTTGTTAAATTAACAATCATTTAACGGTTTTTCTCTTGTTCAATGCCTTCTGTCTGACTGGGACTTCAGGCGAAACTGAACCTAGACGACTAAATCGGACATAATTGCATTATCGACTGAATGTAGTTTAATGTGCACTGTCCCTTTAAGACAGGTAAAATAAATAACAAACCAGAGTAAAAACTGCATTATTAACACACTGCTCTCCCACAAAAGAAATCTAGCATGTTGCACTAATATTTTGAGAAGCGTACTTTTCTCAGCCAGAAGGGGGCGTGCCAGTTCATAAAGAGGTTTTCACATCCGACGCTAACACACCTGACTCAAATGAATAGTTAATGACCAGGTTTTTGCAAAACTTGCTGACATGCCGAGAGAGTAGCTGACCTGATTCAGGTGTGTTAGAGCAAAAGTTACAGGACAAGTGAAACTCGGGCCTGGAGTTACTGAGATCAAATGTTTAATGAAGCTATAATATATTTTTAATATCTTTACCTAATTTGACTTTTAGAATGCTTTCTCTACATTAAAGCTGCAGTATGTAACTTTTAACATATTTGTTGGAACTGTCATGATGAGAGATAATCTGTGAAAAAAATCGAGCTCCTCTGCCTTCTCCTATAGTTTTGTGGTCATCTACAGAAATACACATCAGGAACAACCAATCAGAGCCAGGAGGAGAATCTTAGCGCTGTCAATCACCCTCATGTATGCAATGTTCACACCTGCTATAACACAGCTGGTTCACCACAACAGAGCCTGACAGGAATGCTAAGACTAGTTAGCATGGCCACCAATGAGAACAAATAACAGTTGTAACAGTAAGTTGCTTCTCTGCCATTAGCACACTGAGCAGCACATGCAGGATGGTGATTGACAGCACTAAGAACCTCCTTCTGGCTCTGATTGGTTGCTTGATGTATTTCTTCAGATATTAGCGCTGGGAGGAGGTGGAGGAGCTGAAACTTTTCAGATGATCTTTCTCTTATTAAACTGTCACGACATGCTGACAGTTTTAACAAATATGTTAAAAAAACATATTTTTGTAAAAGTTACAAACTGTACCATTAAAGACCCCTTTAATACATCATTACTCATGGTTTTGTTTGCTAACCAAGCTTGACATGAATGATAAATTTCCCTTTGTTGCTGTTGAATTGAATGAAAACCTAATTAATTCACACTACAGCTAAATTCTGACTCCCATTCAGTTAATCTTATAATGATGGAAGATGAGCTGCAGTAAATAAACAATAATAACAGGAGCGTAACATAACGGTGTTGCTGGCAGGCTGCCTTAAACTCTGACAGATTTCTGGTTTTTATTGCAGGACCTGAACCTCTACAGCACATGTGTCAAACTCAAGGCCCGGGGGCCAAATCCGGCCCGCCATAACATTTTATGTGGCCAGATGCATAAATAGAACTGTCAAGATAACAGGACTTAAATATTATTTTATCAATCAAATCAAAACAGCTTTTACCTGTAAAGTGTGAAAAAATGGTTGAAAGCAGAGACAGCTATTTATTAATATTTTAATAGTTTGTTAATAGATTTTATGAATACTTTCTGCCACAACCCGCCCTTTGAAGAGACTTATAATCTCATATGAACCAAAATGAAGCTGAGTTTCACAACTGTGCGTTCTTACAGCGTAGGTCTGCATGCAGCTCTCCATCTCAGCCTGAGTCAGCGTTGTGCGTTCTCTCTCCTCTGGAGGATCCATCCATGACTCCCGTTTGGTTTTAGGCTCTGTCCTCTCCACACTCTGGCCTCTTCTTCTGTGACGCAGCGACGCGGCGCCATCTGAGGCAGACGGCAGCGGGGCGGCGCTGCCTGCAGTGGCTGCAGCAGCAGCACTGAGCCCCTCGGCGCTTCCCCCTCCCGGGTCCTTCACATCATGGATTCCATTATCATCGTCGTCATCGCACATTTCAAACACAGAGGCTGGGTCCATTCCTTTCTCCACCATGGTGGGGCTCCCTTCCTCCAGGAAGCTGTTTTCCATGGGGACTCCTCCACAGGCCGGCCTTCTGTCCACCTTCAACACAGCAGCTGTTGTTATTTTTACTCTCACAAAAAGTTAAAGTTCATCTGACGCTCCGCTCTGTACCTTCTCTATAAAGCTGACTTTCCTCAGCTTCAGGCCGCAGTCTATCACGTTCTCCTCCTCTGTCTCTCCTTCGCTGAACCTCCCGCTGTCAGCCTCGTCCCGCTCTCCTCCCTCCTCCTCGTCAGGCACTCCACAGCCGCCGTTCAAACACTTCTTCTCCCTGCGAGGAGTTAAATGAGCGGTTACGTGTCGGGCAAGCTGAGAGTGTAAGCAGCTCGCTGGAGCTATTCTCTAAACGTCTGACAGGAATGAATCATAACAGCAAGCGGCACAATGGCGGAGGAAGATGGAGTGAATCCGAGCAGATGTGAGAGTAAATGATTAGTGTCAGTTACTCATCTGCACGCTATAGTTTCATTTAAAACATGGGGGTCCAACGTGTGGCATGAGGGCCATTTACGGCCCCTGGTTGCAATTCAGAAATAATACAAATTTAGAAACATGTTCATTTACACTCACATGTGAAAATGGCTGCAAATAGATGCACAATTGTACAACTGGACATCTTTAAAAAGCAGAAGTGGAGCCTCCTGCACAACCAACAAGAATGTAGCAAGTGGTTTCAGGATGGTAAGTCAACAACAAAACAATTGTCTTTTCTAGCAGCCATTGCATAGCGCATAAAGCGGAAAATCTGCTGACTAAATGTGCTGGAGCTACATTTGGGTTGCTAGGTAATGGGCTGGGCTTCACTGGGGTTGCTAGGTGATTTGTGATGTTACATTCTGGAGATTTTTGAAACAGCTGACTTTCCAGACACCAGAAAATATTAATGTATTGCCAAAAATAGGTTGGATGTTTCTTTTAGCACTTGAGCTGGTTTTAGAAGCAGCTGAGACACTAATGGAAATACAAAAACTTGCAAAATGTGAATTTTGCCTAATACATCCATTTAAAATATAAAATATTCATCTTTATACTTTTAGCATTCTTTTGTAAGGCTGAAATCATTTCAGCTCCATTCACAAAGTTACCTAAATCCTGCTTTTATTCTTCTGAAGTGACTACGGTTTTGCTATTTATTTTTCAATAAACACCTGACATATTTATTTTAACAAGAAAAATCTGCAAAACCCTTAAGTTTTGACTCTACAGTAGTTTACAAATATCTTGCCCACAAAAGAAAATCTGACTCCTTAATTTATTCAATTAAGGTATTACAGTTTTTATTAGAAAATATGACAATGTTTTGGCCCTCAAGACCTTTTGACTTGACAATTTTAACCCATATGACAAACGGTTTGGACACGCCTGATCTAAAAGCGAATTTTGATGGAGCTGACCTTCGTTCTGGATTCCCCACTCCAGGTCGTGTGCCCCTCAGTCCGGGTCCAGGCACGGTCGGGTCCGTTGGCGAGGCCTGGACCTTCCCGGCCGCCAGCCGGGCGTATTTGAGCAAGACGGAGAGCAGCAGGTCCCACACGGCTCTCAGCGACAGCTCCCCCAGCTTGTGGCGCTCGTACAGGTAAGGCTGCAGAACCTCCTTCACGTTCTGAAGGAACTGGCGGATGATGAGCAGAGTGGCCAACATCTGGCAAGAAGAGGGAGAAAGTTTGTTTTTTTTACCAAGAGAGGAAAGCAGAAAACAAAAGGAGTTTTCAAGGTGTCAGATAAAGGCAAGAGCTTTAGAAGAAAGAGCAGGATACCACCATGAGGGAAATTCACCAAATCTAAAATCAACCAAAAGGCAAACCATAGCAAGAAGAGAACATTTACAGCATCAAAAAGAGGTTTACATACACCTATCAGCTTGAACTTGATAAATTTTTTGTGTTTAATTAAGCACTTAATCTGGTCATAAAACAAGAAACGTGTTTGATGTTTTCATTTTTGCAAAACAAAACCTTCGCAGTTGCAACTTATTTGCTACAGATAACGTTTCTTTGTTTCATAATCTCAGCAATAAAACCTCAAGAAGTAAAAAAAAAAATTATCTTTATTAATTTAGATGAAGAATCACTAACATGGAGGACCACAACGGGGCCCACCTGGGTCAGAGGGGTGGGAGATATGGGCTTAGAATATTATCACAATATTTTGTGGTACAATTGTGATAATGATTTAAAAAATGATGATAAATTATTGCTTACAATATAGCTGTGAATGTATTTGTTTGATTTATTTCACTAAATTGAAGACATGGTGAATGCATTTAACCATATTTTAAATATAATGATATTTGTTGATACCGTTACAATTTTCTCCAGACGATGGAGGAAATTTTTAAAATAATATTTCAGATAATGCTGTCGTTTTGAGGAGGTTTTGTTCAACATTAATTTGAATTTATGAAGAAAGTCAGAATTGAAAACTATGAGAATTTTTTTTTACAACAATTGATAAATGATATAAATGATCATTCCTATTCGGAAGTTGTCTGAAAAACAGATGGTCCACAAATTACAAAAGGTTTTGTATTAAATGTGTATAAAAATCTAAATTGCATTAAATCTCTGGGAAGGAAACAGGATCCATTGGTCATATGAACCACAAGGGATCCACATACAAATATTAGTAGGAGACCGGTAAATCTTGCAAAAACACTACTAAAACTGCACTAAACTGCCCAGTAATAATTGTTTTACTCATTCCGGACAATATATGTAAACAGAAATGCTTACATGGACAAAGGCTCACACTGTATGTATGGTAACATTTTTAAGGCTGGTGCAAAGGACAGCAGACTAAAACAAACTAAGCCTCAATAAATTCCTGACAGAACTTGGATACAATGTCACATCCAGTTTCTAGGAAACTGAGGAAAGGAGCTTTGTCCTTTTGTTGATACCAGCTGAAACAGCCAGCGCAAGCGAGTCGCAAACAGAGTTTAACAAAAGAGCTGACTAAAGATTTTCAGATATATTGTTTTTACTAAGAAGCTTTCTGTTTAATTTTAGAGTCGCGATAAATTATATTTTCAGCTTATTTCACTTTCTGCTTACTGAGTGTTGGGCATGAACTTCTTAAGTGAGTTTAGCTCAACAAATATTGGAATGAAGTTAATTGTAGAGTTGGGAAGAAGGAAAACTATGCCAATCCAGTTAAGAAAACAACAGGATCTGCAGACTGTAAGGGGTTGCAATAGTAAAAGAAGCAAAGATGCAAATGAAAATGACAGAAACGAAAGACCAAATGTCCCAAAGACCGTCACAAATATGGAAACAAAGTGGAAAACATCTTCATACAATGACCTCAAAGAAGAAAATCAAAAAGGTGTAATGCTACAAGATGCAAGAAATGATCATGGCAAGTTTGTAGACTTTTGTTCCTAAAGCTACAAAGAAACAGAAGCTTAAAGTACAAGAATACAAGAAAATGTCCAAAACATAAAGCAACACTGAGATATTGGCTGGAGCTGACCAACCAATCAGAAATCCTATCATATTTCTGACTAGTGAACACATCTCTGCTATGTGGCACAAACAGCAAAATGTCTTTAGTGTGGACACTGTTGCTGAGTAGAGAAGCTACAGTTAACCCAAAATTATTCATACCTCTAGAAGGTTTAGATTTAAAAGGAAATGAGACAGGCCTTGTCCTAAAAAAATAAAATACTGCAAAAAGAGTATAAAGTTTGGAAAACATTATTTATTTTGTTATATTTCGATGAGAAAGTGTAAATTATCAACACCCTTCTCAATAATGAAAGGAAAAAACTTTTTTTTTAGCTGTTATAATGCCTGAACAGGTTTTTGCTCTTGTGCTCATGAAGATTTATCTTTAGTAATGACCTTCTTGAATGATATCAAGTCATGATTATGGCAGTGCTTTTCTAAAATCTAAAAACTACTTTCAGTCAAAACACATATGTTAAAATATTATTGTAAGCCTTGATCTGTCAGGAGTATGAATAATTTTGGGTTTAGCTGAAGCAATTTTCAGATGCTTTAAGATTTTTAAAATAAATTCAGTGGAAGAAAGAAGCTATTTAAAAGGAAAATGTATTTCCTCAGACATCCTCGATGTCTCAGATCATTCAGGCTGCAAGAGAGCAAGACTTTAATCAGATAACAGGAACGGTGAATGGATTATCGATAGGTTTAAGGGGTCTCAGCGATATGTATCTACCATCTTCAGTAAAAAGATACAAAAACTGTAGTTTGCCAACCAGGCGCATATTTGCAACCGTTGCATCTTTAGCAATAAAGTTTCCCAGCACCAACAGACAAACCAGAACAAAGCAGAGGTGACAGAGTGAGACAAAGTGGACCTTCAGTCCCTCCAGGAGTCAATAGGAGTCATACTTTAGACTTGAGCAAAGCTCTGAAGAACCAGGGCACTGAGACCACAATCATCTGGATCTTGAAGAGGATGTAAGGCAGCAGATTTTCCCGGACCTGCCGCTGCAGACTTCGCAACAGAGACAACACCAGCAGCATCTTCCGCACAAAGACAAACATGGATGGATGGATGGATGTATGGATGAATGGGCGTGGATATCAATGCGAGGAGACAGACACAGCAAAGCATTTAGAGGATAAAATGATGCTAGCGCACACTGTGTAAGCCTGTGTAATGCTTGAAGCAAATATGGGGTTGTTTCCTACCTCCTTCAGACGCTCCATGTCTTTGAGGTAGAATCCAATGTAAAAAAGGCTGAGATAAGAATTTACAAACTGAAACTGCAAGAAAAACAAAAGAAAGGTGAGAACAACTGATAAATACTACATGGAAAAATTAGACAGATAATTACTCACAAGAACCATTTTGATGATGAGATTTTTCTCATAGGCACTCTGGAGTCTGTAGTTTTCTACAGAATGGAGGAGCAGACTGTGTTAAGCTCAGGAAACATCAATAAAGCTAATTGTATTGTGTTGACCAGATGCTGGACTCTCACCCATGTCGTTGAGCCAGCAGGCGATTTTCCTGTACACCTCGTCACATGCACTCACAGTGATAGCAAGCATGATTTTAGGGATAAAGCGAGCCAGCCGTGGCATTTCCTTGATCCCCATCACAAACTCCTGCAGCAAAAGACATTGATAGATAACTATTGTTATCTATCAAACAATAGTTATCTATTGTTTGATAGATAACTATCAAACAATAGTTATCTATTGTTTGATAGATAACTATCAAACAATAGTTATCTATTGTTTGACAGATAACTAAGCAAATATGTCAGACTAAACTAGTACGGCTAGCTTAGTTTCGGTCAAGACGATAAGAGGTGCATGTACAAATGAATCACAAAAAATTATAATATCAATGAATTTATTTTATTAATTTAATTTAAAAAGGGAAATTCATAGATTCACTACAAATAGTCAGTAATTCCAGCAATTATTCATTTTACTTATGAGGAGATACAGCTTATGATGAACCAAACTCGCTTTCTCAGAAAATCAAAATAAAACCATCAATAAAAATTAGTTTAATTAGAGAAACATTGTCATAATTAAAATTATGTTTGTGAATTGTATAATGTATCATGTTTTACACTGGATTCATTCATTCACATTACAATTCATTGAGCTGTTCTTGTATTTTGCAGGTTAAACAGTCAGATTTTAGATTATTTTTGATAAGGGGCAATTAACCATGAAATAATAAAGTATTAGTTTAACGTACATCAACTTATAATTTTATTTAATGAACATCACTGACAATTATGTGATTAATTAAATATTTAAATAGCTATAGATTAATTATTTTCTCCTCTTCCTACATTTTTAGTTAATGCTTACTTTATATCTAAAACATTGGCATGTTGTTTGACGTTTAATACACTGCTGGACTACAACACCAATCTTCAAATTCAGCTACAAAGCTACAGCTTGGTGAGCTGAGACCAAGCATTTTCAATTCTTAGCACACATTTGCTACATTTAAAATAGCAGGAAAGTAAAGAAAATCTGACCTGCAGCTCAAAGCAAATAAGCATGACGAGGAAGACGAAGCAGAGGCAGAGGATACAGATGGGCAGGCTGACCAGCCACCTGAACACCCGCCTGCGCCACGGCGGGTAGTAAAACTCCTCACATCCCGTTATGGGGCTGCAGCGCTTCACTCCCTGCACACAGAGAGCATTAAACAACTCAAAACAGCAGGGAGCCGCGGTTGAAACGGGGAGGAATAAAATCCAGCCCCCCTCACCCGAAACTGAGGCCGCGGTTCCTCCAGTGATTTGGAGGGCGTGTCCAGCGTTCCCCATTTGTACGCCAGCTCGGCTCCCCTCCTCTTCCACCGCTCCAGGAACAGAGTGGCCCACACCACATTGAACAGCGCAAACACCACGCAGCAGATGTCACGGCTCGTCTGGGAAACACAAACAGATGCATGTTTGTGGCAGCAAGCAGGCAGCGGTGTCTTCCCGTTAATAATTCAGGCCACCAAATGTTGTGTTCTCACCTGATCCGACTCTGTGAGCATCCACAGCACAAAGCCGATCACAGCAGGATACAACATGGAGGTGGTGTAAAAACCCAGCCAGGCAAAATACATCGCAATCTTCACCCCAAAGTAGTCACAGATGTCATCTGTAAATAATATGGAAAGAACAAGCTGAAAAATGAACTTAAAGGTTCATAATCCTGTTTATCCTGAACAGAATTATGCAAGCATGATTTTAGGGATAAAGCGAGCCAGCCGCGGCATTTCCTTGATCCCCATCTCAGACTCCTGCTATTTCTATTTTTATTTAAAATTGAAAGATTTTAAGCAAAAATCTTTTTTCATGGAGCGACTGATGGATGGACGGATGGAGGAATATTTATTTAGATAGCTGGATGGATGAATGAATAATTCTATGAATCTATGGATGGATGGAGATAGATGATGGAAGGATGGATGCACGGACAGATGGAAGGATGGATAATTGCATACATCCACGGATGGATGGATGAACAGATGGACACAAAAAATGGATATAAGGATGTAAGGATGTAAGGATGTAAGGAAGGAAGTCTGTCTGTCTGTTTGTATGTCTGGATGGATGGATGGATGGATGGATGGATGGATGGATGGATGGATGGATGGATGGATGGATGGATGGGTGGATGGATGGATGGATGGATGGATGGATG